CGGGGCCCACCCTTCCGCCGCCCCCGGCCGGGCGGGCCTGACCCCCTCGTTCTGCGTTTCAGAGGCTCCTGGAAATCACCCAAGGGGCAGAATTCCTCCGGCTGGAGGTGGAGGGGGGTGGATGCTCCGGATTCCAGTACCGATTTTCGCTGGACACAGTGATCCACCCCGACGACAGGCAAGGAGGAAGGGAGGGGTGGTGGTCCTCGGAGTGTGCGGGAGGGGGAAGCGTGTGTGGAGCTGAAGGCGCACTTTTATTCCAGATTTGAACGGGTTGCTCAGGATGCTCCACACCACCCTCCCCGCGCACGGGGGTGGGCGGGGGATGCACGTGAAGACGGGTTGTCTTGATTCCAAAGAACCCAGTTACAGGAGGGAGATGGGCCTTCCTGGGCCCGCGGGGTCGCTGATAGGAGTTAGGCCGGATGAGATGCCAGGTCTGAATATCCAAACGTTTCCCAGGGGTCATTCCGTTGGATCTTTCTGCCTCCAAAATCGGCACCGTTTTGGAGGCAGTAAGGAATGCTGCCTGTTTCCGAAAACCCGGAATGCGCACCTCTCACGCCAGGGCTCAGAGTGTCGGGGTGTTGGTGTTTATGATCGTCACTGATGCTGTTCTCCTGTGTGTGGTTTGCTTTTTGTGTTTTTGTTTTTTTTCTCCCCAGGGTATTTGAACAGGGCGGGGCCCGAGTGGTGGTTGACGCTGATAGCTTGGCCTTCGTGAAAGGCGCCCACGTGGACTTCTGCCAGGAGCTGATCCGAAGCTCCTTCCAAGTGCTCAACAACCCGCAGGCGGAGAAAGGCTGCTCCTGCGGCTCTTCCTTCTCTGTCAAGCTTTGAGGAGATGGCAGGTGACCCGGAGGTGGCTGCCAGGGTACCCCTTGGAGGCGCCTGGAATTCGAGGAACCTTAGGGGTTTCCTTCCAATCATGTCCCTCTCACGATTTGATTTCCCGCAATCCAGGAGTGTTGTGTGTTGCCACTATGTTTTCCAGAATATGAAGCAATCTTGACTCTTGACTTAATTTCTCCTGCACCCTTCTAAGGCCGAGGCTCTAGGACTAGGTGCTGTTCCCCAAGGTTTGTTTAAGAGCTAGTTTGAAATCCAGTGTAATCTGGAGAGCCTCCAAGGTTCCAAAATGTGAGTTGCTTCTCTGGCCTTCAGAGCTGCTTGTACATAGATGTATAACTCTGTATAAAAGCTTCATTTAAAGCAAGCCCCGTTTACTTGTGTTTTGAATCGGAGTCACAGATTAAATAGCGTGAACGCTCATTACTAGGCCAGAGAGGATGGGAAAGGCATCTCACCCTTCCTGAATGTGCTCCTGGATTTGTCCTTATTTTCTGTGCAGCTCATGCTCCACTGCCCATGTGCTAGGGCAGATAGATTTTCTTATCACACTCAGAATTCTTTTTTTATTTTATTTTTAAATTTTTATTTTATTTTTCCCATCACCATTTATCCCCTCTATCCCTCTTACAGACTCAGAATTTAGATTCACAAAACCAAAAAGCCCATCACTCAGAAAACAAACCTAACTCCCACTGATGCCTTAATCACTTGAAAAATAGCCTCCACGTTCCTACAGGCATTTCAAGATTCTGTGATCATTTAGTGATTGAATCATTTAAGGATATGTAGCTTCACTTACCTTATGGCGTAAAACGCCTCTGGTCTCACACATAGCAGAAACTGGTCCCTTTTGTTGGAATAGATAATAGATACTCGGAGATTTTCTTTTAGGTTGAATTACCAAATAAAATGCAGGATACCCAGTTGAATTTGAATTTCAGATGAACAGTAAATAATTTTTAGTATAAGTGTGTCCCAAATATTGTATGAGATATACTAAAAATTCTTTGTTGTTTATCTGAAATTTAAATTTAACAGGGCATCCTGTATATTTATTTCTTAAACCTGGCAACTTCATTTTAGGATTACTGAAGTAAAAGCATTTTAAGCCACAAATTCCAATGAATTTTAAAGTACTTATTTGGGCCCTGGGTGGGTGACTCGTCCCATACACCAAAAAGTTACGGATTCAATTCCTGGTCAGAGCATATATCTAGGGTGTGAGTTCAATCAGGCAATCAATCGATGCTTCTCTCTCTCCTTTCTCTCTCTCACTCTCCCCCTTCCTCTCTAGAAATCAATAAAAACATATCCTTAGGTGAGGATTAAAAAAAATTAAAGTACTTATTTGGGTATAGCATTTAGATAGGCTACAGAGCTAGAAATTGCTGTGGTATGTGTCTGACTGTTTGGGGAGCCAGAATTGCATGGACTGACAACTAAAAAAAGACAAAAATACCACCCCCATGAGTAATGAC